ATAGTCCAGCCCTATGATAAAGTAGGTAAACTGGTAATACAAAGACTGTCGTTTCAATCCCAACAAGTTAGCACATATCAAACAAGTTTGAGACCACTTGAGAAAGAAACGTGACCCTTTGATTAAAGACATGCGCTAATTAACAAGTAGGCAAACCAATGCAAATTCCAGATCTATGATGAAATGTACAAACAACCCCATTTACAACTTTGATTGAGTAATTCACAATTACAGTACAACCAAAGAACTGGCAGTGGGGTCACAAGAGTAGGCTTTTCTAAGCTGGTTCTGCCCATTCAAACAGCCTCTTTTGTTACAATAATAACGGTTCCAAACCCAGAGGATGAATGTCGGGTAATCCTCCATGGCATCAGATCAGGATTTGGGTTGCCTAAGCCAGCTGGCATTACATAATATTGGTCATCTCTTAATTTGCACAGGACTTGCATGTTGGATTGTTAGGTATTTTCATTATTGTTGGTCATTCATAGATTCAAGATTTTTTTTTTGTCACATACATGGTTATATAGGGAATATATGACCAGCAATGAATAAGCATAAATTTAATTTCCAAGTTTTCATTTGCGTGATTGTTTCCCCAACTCAGTTAAGCACAACCCCATTGACAGCATTGGTAGCACATGATAGATATTGCTGGTAGGGCTGTCACTAACGATTATTTTGGTAATGGAGTAATCGGTCGATTATCCTGACAATTACTCGAGTAATCCTCTGCTAATCCTTGTTTAATATTGACTAAAGAATAGTGCTGTGTTCGATACATCGATACGACGATGTATCGTCACAGAGATTTGACGATACGAGTATCGATACAGCTGTCCCTGTATTGATATTTTGGCACGTGTGCAGCAGTGGACCAGGCTTAATTTGAATACAAGAACAACGTTTAAAACGGAGTAGAAAAGTGCAAGGTTTCTAAAAAAATAATGAATAGAGTATAATATATATAGGCTACAACAAGGTTTAATCTGGCCGCAGAGGAACACAACCGGGGTTGCCTGATATAAAGAGACGTAATCCCCAAAACAGCGCTTCCCACTTGTGCAATATGGAAATATCTGCTAAGCGTGCTACTTATCTGTGTCAACCTGGCAACCGTGTACGCGCTCTCTCCACTGTGGATAAACGCGCTTGCTTTCTGAAAACACTGGTTAGCTTGCAGTTTAGCGATCTCCACTTCAATATTCTATTCTCAGAATAAGAATTTTTACTGTGGTACAGTTATGGAGGCCCTTCATAATGCAGAGGTCAACTGCCTGCTCTGCCAATAGTTAGAAATGGCACTATAGTATGCAGTGTTCAATAAATAGCTGTTTTACTAAACTGTTCTGAGGTGAAATTCAATGCAGTCCCATATCGTGATATGTATCGTATCCTCTGTATCGTATCGTGACTTTGCTGGTGATACACAACCCTACTAAACATTTAATTCAAATGTCCACTTAATCTTTAATATTTGGCCATTTCTTTACGACAGAAATGCTACAGCTACTGTAATTTCTTGAATATGTGGACATCAAAACGTGTAACTCAGAGTGAGGATTTGAGCTTTCATTTTGAAATCATGATGAACAGTTAACATTAGGGCTGCATGATAAATCGAAATGGAATCGAGATCGCGATTCGACAGAAGCTGCGATTGTCATGCGTATCTTTCAGTGAAGCACGGTTCTGTGATCAGCAGTAAATCTCCATCTAAAGGCCAGAGGGCGCTCTCGCGCTGAAACTCCAAATACGCCTCGCAGAAGAAACCCAGGAAATGCCTATCGCTGCAGCTGAATAAACAGAAGATTCAACTGCTTTCATTGATTCAACGTGACTAATAAACACATGACTATGGCAATATATGGTTTATCTGAGTTCTTATTCTTATAATTTTCATTAAAATAAAGTATATTTATAATGCAATCCCTTTATCACTGCTGAAATACGTTGCGTGCCTTATTCTGTGTAAGAAGCCACATCATCTCACAGAAGGATTTATTTCAAACACTCAACTGACGTTATGAAGTGAGTTTGGAGTAAAAATATGTTATTAAATGTGGTATTTTCACATGCTTTCAGATGGAGCAGCATTTACTTCACAGAGCCGTAGTTCACTGAGAAGCTATGCAAACAGCTGTCATTATCGCGAACGATTTCTTCGATTTCATAATCACGCAATAAAATCGTGTGTATATGCAATTTTTTTGCGTAACTTGTCAGTGAACTACGGCTATGTGTAGTAAATTCTGCTCCATCTGAAAGCACATGGTGATGATTTCCTGCTGATTACAGAACTGGCTTTTTAAACAAAATGCGCATGAAAATCGCATTCGATTAATCGTGCAGCCCTAGTTAACATATTGAGAAATATATTAATGTATTCTCCTGTGATTGTGTATGTTTATAAATGATTTACCTTATAAATGTGATGAAATGACCCAAACTCACAACAATATGTAGAGACGCTCCACACATAAATTATAACAGTTCGTGTGGAGCAGCATTTACTGTGAACAGAGCCGCTCTGAGACACACACACACATGTAACTAATTCAAGCACACGTATTAAGCCGGCATTGCATATATTTATTTAATTGAATCGTAGCGTTTGTTAATTCAAAATAGCATTATGCTTTATTATGATTTTTAAATTAGTTTCATATATCACGCAGCCTTGGATGACGGTCTAATAATGATTTTCATGGATTCTCGTCAGTGGAATGCGCCACTTCAAGTATTTTGCGGATTACTCGACACGGACAAAATACAATCAAGGATTCTTTTTAAATTGAGTAGTTACTCCAATTGAATCGAGGAATTGTGACAGCCCTAATTGTTGGTAGCGATTGGATCCATCCATTTTTCTAAACTCTGAAGTGAATCCAAAAAGCCTGAACTTTTCTTGACAATGAAATTGGCTGCTGGGTATCTTTTACACTTAACTGGTTTAGGAAAAACATGTTTTTCTTTGCTGATGATTTTGTACAATGCCATGATCATATCATATAGAAGCCAAGGACAAATTCAAGGCAATAGCTGTTTTGGAAGTAACCGCTTCATTCAGTTTGTAGCACAAGAACAGGACTAGGACACATTCTTTACAGCTGGACCTGAACAAGTATTTTAGACTGCAACTAGGGCTGCGCAAATAATCAAATGCGATTTTCATGTGCATCTCATCAGTAAAGCCGGTTCTGTGATTAGTAGTAAGTCTCCAGCACGTGCTTTCAGATGGAGCAGCATTTACTACACAGAGCCGCAATATCGCATTCATAATCGGCAATGAATCGCCTGTGTTTTTGAACGCGATAATCACAGAACCGGCTTGACTGACGAGATGCGCATTAAAATCTCATTCGATTATTTGCACAGCCCTAACTGCAACCAGTAATTTTTAGTCATGCAACTTAAAAAGAGCTTAATATCTTTAGAGTTAAGAGCTGAATGATTGTAAGCATTCATTAAAGTCATACATTTCAGTAATTAGATCATGCATTATCATCATTCCATTCAGCTAAAATATGAAGTGATTATGGAAACGTTTTCTGATAAACAAATCACACAATAATGTAATTAAACATTAAAAGATCATATTTAAAACAATCCACAACTCCGGCTCCACAAGGCTTGATACAGGATCAAACTTGTACACGGGAGACAGACAGTATCACTGCACATGCAGTTTGGAAAGGGCTGCAGCCCAGATTCAATATGGTCAGCAAAATGGGTGTGTCATATGATAATAGCCTTAATGTAAAACTGAATCTCGGTGACCCAAGTTATTATCTTCATAACACCAAGGCTGCTTTTATCCCCCAGATCATCGTCTCTAGTTATTTATAGCGTCATGGATGGCAGCCATGCCTGGCTGGTACCGCGCTCATATCCTCAGGCTGTGTGAAACTGATGTTTAATTTAATTAAGAAGATCATTTAGGCACAGATCTGATCTACTTAGCGACTGACAGACAGTGTTTTTAGAAACTATACTGCAACTTACCTGAGGAAAAAGGGAATTATGACACACTAACTTACCTTTGAAGGCTGGTAATGGAGGATAAAATCTTGCCCGAGTTGTGAAAACTCAACATGAGCTTGAGTTTAAATACTCACTCCCTGCTACAACAAACTTTTGCCTTGACATTAAGATGCTGGCACAAAGTCTCGGTTTTCTTTACAAGTGCGCAATATGGCGCCCCTACTAAAATAGTCTCATAACAAAGGGTAATTTTTTCATGTTGTAAAGCCTTAAAACGAGCAGGCTAATTACTTTTTCCAAGTCTGTCTAAACGTTTCGGATTGATTCAAAAAGGCGCTGTTGCTCTCAAGGCTTTGGCTAATAAAGAGTCAGTGGACTGTTTTCATGCTTTTTTAACAGGAAGGGCAGAGTCAGACTCTCTCTTTATAAAAACACGCTCTTCCTCTCAACACTTTTGCCAAATGTTCGACACAAATGCGGCCTTTTCCTGCCACGGCGCAGGTCCTGCTCTTTTAAAGTCTGGACTGTACGCCTAGTAAAACCGGAGGTCTGATCAGGCCAACATAAAATATTCTGGCATTCATTAAATTTGCATAAAGCCCTTGATAATCGGGCTAGACCATTACCTTCGGATAGGCTTGTAATCATTTCCTTGGAATCATTTAAATTGCAGAAAACAAACATTTGTGTAAATTGCATAAATATGCCTTTGGTTTGAGAACAAATTCACACAAATCAGTCATTCTAACTACATAAATACAAGCACTATATCTTAAAACTGTAACTACTTTACAAATGTTCCAAAGGAAAGAAACCAGAAAGACTTGGGATTTGGGATACACATGGGTTAAAGACAGAGTAACTTACTGACAACTCCACACCTCCTCTCAGATTTCCCTCCCTCTCGTTCCACACCCCTGCCCCCATGCAGCATATTGCAGCAAAATTCCTCATGTTGGGAAAAACAACTTTACAACTTGAACTTTAAAAGATAAAATGTACCCTACTCCTCCCACCTTGTTGAAATAACGAAGCCTCCTTCCTCTTCACGTCTCACTCCCTCTTCTGCTCACCTGGTGTGGCAATCGGACTCCTTCACTTCACGCTCTCCCGGGTATATAATGACCACATAAACCGTTGTCATTCCCTTTGCGAAGCCGTGAGCTGGTGGCCCATGCCGAGACAGGGATTTTTTTCTCAGCAACCGCAGCAAAAGCACCAGCGTGTCTGCTTGCTGGTCAACTATCCGGCTGAAACATTTCCAGCTATTCCCACACCCCTCCCCTCCTCTCCTGCAACCAACCCCTTCCTGCCAGACTGCCTCCGGCAAAAGGCCGCCCATCCGCAATCTAGCCAATAGCATCATTCCCTCTGTGAGGCTCTGTTGTTAGCAGAGTTTCCCCGAACTAGCAAACTGACCTCAGAGCTTCCAATGACAGGCTCCTGAATGCTGAACTTAAAGGTATTCCCCCATTTTTATGCCCTGGCAACGAAAGATTGATATTCTTTTCCCCAACTTTTCCAAATTATACACTGTGATGGGGATGAAACTCTATGACTGGAAATGTTTTATAAACAGCAATGTGCACAAATTTGCTAATTTAAACTTTTTGCTACTATAGTTGCTCCAACGGTTTTTCTTCTTCCATACAATACAAATTGAGACGTTTGTCTGAATGCACACAGTCAAGCTCCAAAAAGGACAAAATCACAATAAAAGAATCTAGGACTGCACGATTAATCGAATGCGATTGCCATGCGCATTTTGTTAGTAAAGCCGGTTCTGTAATCAGCAGGAAATCATCATCACGCGCTTTCAGATGGAGCAGAATTTACTACAGATAGCCGTAGTTCACTGACAAGTTGCACAAAAAAAAAATGTTATTGCGCGATTATGAAATCGAAGAAATCGTTCGCGATAATGACAGCTGTTTGCATAGCTTCTCAGTGAACTACGGCTCTGTGAAGTAAATGCTGCTCCATCTGAAAGCATGTGAAAATACGACATTTAATTACATATTTTTACTCCAAACTCACTTCATAATGTCAGTCGAGTGTTTGAAACAAATCCTTCTGTGAGATGATGTAGCTTCTTACACAGAATAAGGCACACAACATATTTCATAGTATTTCAGCAGTGACAAAGGCATTGCATTATAACTATACTTTATTTTAATGAAAATTATAAGAATAAGAACTCAGATAAACCATATATTGTTGTAGTCGTGTGTTTACTAGTCACGTTGAATCAATGAAAGCAGTTAAATCTTTTGTTTATTCAGCTGCAGCGATGAATAAGGAGGGTTTCTCCTGCGAGGCGTATTTGGATTTTCAGCACAAGAGCGCCCTCTGGCCTTTGGATGGAGATTTACTGCTGATCACAGAACCGTGCTTCACTGAAAGATACGCATGACAATCGCAGCTTCTGTCGAATCGCGATCTCGATTCCATTTCGATTTATCATGCAGCCCTAAAAGAATCATAAAATCAGCCCAAAACATTCATAATCATTGTCTCTTAATGGAATTTTATGTGTGGATGGCGCAACGTGATGCCAGAAAAATATAAAAACCAAGTGACAGACTATGGTTAACTAAAACTTAACCTAAGATTAAAACCATTAAAAAAGATCATTACTCGTAATATTTACTGAAATTAATCTTTTTTTTATATATAGCTAGTTGCCAAGATAAGGTAGCTTAACTTGATATACTAAAAGAGAAATAAAAGAATCATAAAATCAGCCCAAAACATTCATAATCATTGTCTCTTAATGGAATTTTATGTGTGGATGGCGCAACGTGATGTCAGAAAAATATAAAAACCAAGTGACAGACTATGGTTAACTAAAACTTAACCTAAGATTAAAACCATTAAAAAAGATCATTACTCGTAATATTTACTGAAATTAATCTTTTTTTTATATATAGCTAGTTGCCAAGATAAGGTAGCTTAACTTGATATACTAAAAGAGAAATAAAAATTTATTAAAAATTAATAAAATTATAGACATTTTTAAAAAAGTGACAAAAATACAATTATGAAAGTTTTAACTACATTTAAAATGAAAAATGAGATGCAAGAGAAATTTAAAAACGGACAAAAAAAAAAGTTTCATCATTGGCACAGCTGGAAATTTGAATTAACATAGAAGTTTTTTTTTTTCTTCGGAGCTCTTAAATCTCCATTCAAACCTTGAGCGATGCATGTAAAGTTGCATTTTTAAGTTGAACACAAGAAACAGAGTTTGCTCATTTCCTCATGCAAAGCTATCATATAGTGATGAACGATTAATTGCATTTGCGATAATATCGCGAAATGAAAAATGTAGATTTTTCAATCGCAGAGGCTGCGATTACACGGTCACGTGACAGGCGAGAGTAAAGAGGTGTGTTCGACTTGAAGATCAGATCAGTGTATGACATCAAAGTACGGCGAGCGAGAGAAAGCATAAGGAGACGTCCGCGCTCTCTTATAGCTCTCGCAGTACTTTGATGACACACACCCATCGGTCTAAGCAGCGCTGCTTGAAGTCGAGCGCGGGCCATCAGCAGAAAAATAAAAGAAATAAGTAAACAGCCAAAAGACGTAACTTAGAATGGGGGATGGATAGGTTTGTGAAAGCGAAGAGAAAAGCCATAGATGAAGTCGCACAGACCCAGGCAGGTGCTGGTCATTTAAAAGCTAAATGCAGAAAATATGACGAGGCATATCTTGCTCTCGGCTTCACTCACCGTGTCTATACAGGACGCTACAGTTGTGCATCGCGCCGCAACAGCTCTACACTGGACGCGACAAAGCGACCGTTGCAAATCATTTTAACTTTGTGTCAGTATAGGGTTGCCAACCGTTTCATATAATAAGGAATCATCCCGTATCAAAGAAGCGTTTCGTATAGCTTTCATTTTCCATATAGCAGTTTGTCCCGTATTTAAGGCACCATATTTGACCACCTAGACCATACGAATAACAAACTCTAAATTGAGAATTAATCATTCTTTATTGACAAGTGTTTGATTTGTGAACAGGGAGGCTTTAAGACCAAGCAGAATTCTCTGCCGGCTGGTCGCTCCTGCTTCACAGCGAACGGGATTTGCGCTAATGGAGTTAGTTTTTTTTTTTACATCTGCATTTCGACTTTAGCAAATCAGTTTGAGCGAATATAAACAACGTGATTCCAACATCCAACCACGCAAGAAAATGTGCATTTTACCTGAGGGAAGACCAATATTGATCAATAATGAAAGTCATCTTTCTTTAATGCATACCTAGATAAAACAATTTACATTTAATGGCTGTAGGGTGAGAAATAGTATAAGGTTATTGCACATATTTGTATTGCACAATGGGAGAACATTTAAAGGGGTCATATGATGCGATTTCATTTTTTCCTTTCTCTTTGGAGTGTTACAAGCTCTTGGTGCATAAAGAAGATCTGTAAATTTGCAAAGACTAAAGTCTCAAATCCAAAGAGATATTCTTTATAAAAGTTAAGAGTCAGCCACACCCCCCTAAAATGGCTCGTTCGAACACGCCCCCACATATCTACCCCAGTATGTGGGAAGATCTGCATAACGCAGCCCAAATGTTCACGCAAAGAAAGAAGGCGTAACTTTTATTCTCACTGTAATATTGTTGCCGCCATGTCCTAAAGACGCTGTGTGCTTTCGTTGTGAAAGCGAAACTACTTTGTTTGGTCTTCCAAAAGAGGACGATATCCACTTCGTCATGCCTAGAGCTGATCCGTGCTGGTCGCTGAGGAAATACATCAACTTAGTGCTGTGGATCGCCGGATCGGCTTTCACCGTTTTCACCGCTCCTTCGCCGGGACCGCCGTTCTCGACCCCGCCACCTCAGCTCTCACTCTTGCCCGGGATTTCGCTCACGCTAGACCGCTGTGTTTTTCGTTGTGAAAGTGAAACTACTTTGTTTGGTCTTTCAAAAGAGGACGATATCTGCTTCGTCATGCCTAGAGCTGGTCCGTGCTGGTCGCTGAGGGAATACTTAGTGCTGTGGATTGCCGGCACATTTTATGGAAGACTGTTTACTGATCCTGGGAGAGCAACGTTAGACTAAAATGGCGGCAGTTCTGACTCACGTAAGTACGTTTTCTTTTATCATTTGCCACTGATGATTCAAACGCGAGTTTTGGGCAGTGTGGAGTAACGTTAGCACTTGTAGTTTTCTCTGATCACAAATGCAGACAGTGTTTTATGTTTACGCAGCACGATGCAATGCAACGCAACGCGTAAAAAGACAGTATAAGTCATTATAATCAGTAATTATGTCCCCACTGGATGCAACAAATGCCTCGTTTATAATGGGTTTTAATGTTTTTGTCTCGTCGCTCCGGCCGGACACGGCATCACAGTATGGTAAGGGGCGTAACATTTCCGTCACACGCTTGAGGTATTCGGCCAATCACAACGCACTGGATAGCTGGCCAATCAGAGCACACCTCGCTTTTCAGACCGATGAGCTTTGTAGAAATCGACGCGTTTCAAAAAGGCGGGGCATAGAGGAGAAACAATAATGTACAGTATGTGGAAAATAATGTGTTTTTCTAAACTTTAAACACATTTCATTACACCAAATAATGTTCTTTTTAGCAGCATCATATGACCCCTTTAACTGTTCATGAGGTAGATTGCCTATAGCCTATATACTGCCGTTCAAAAGTTTGGGATCAGTAATATTTTTAATGTGTTTTTTTTTTAAGAAGTTTCTTATGCTCATCAAGCCTGCATTTATTTCAAATGTAGAAACAAAACTGTAATTTTGTGGAATAGCCTATTATTGCAATTTAACATTTTCAGCATCATTACTCAGGTCTTTAGTGTCACATGATCCTTCAGAAATCATTATAATATGCTGATTTATAATCAGAGATGGAAACAGTTGTGCTGCTTATTATTGTTTGGGACCAGTGATATTTTTTCAGGATTCTTTGATAAATAAAAAGTTAAAAAGAACAGTGTGTTGTGTGTTAAATATACACTACTATTCAAAAGTTTGGGGTCAGTACATTTCTTTTTTCTTTTTAAAGAAACTTTTAGAATACTTATTCAGTAAGGATGTGTTAAATGGACAAAAAAGTGATATTGTTAGAAAATATTTATATTTTGAATAAATTCTGTTCTTTTTAACTTTATTTATGGAATACAGGTTCCAAAAAAAATATTAAGCAGCACAAGTTAACTGATAATAAATCAGCATAAGAATGATTTCTAAAGGATCATGTGACACTGAGGACTGGAGTAATGATGCTGAAAATTCAGTGC